TTAGAAGCAGAAAATTATTTTCTCTCAATATTCTGTTCCTAACCAGTTCTTGAAACAAAAGCAGTACTGGATTTCATGTTTTTATTAAGTTTACATATTGATAGTTGTTGAAAATGTCTTCTGCTAAAAACACTAAATCCTGAGTGAAGGAGATACTTGCTAATTTTTGAATTTTTAATGAGTTGATAAGCTATGGTCAAGTTTGTATTACTTACAATAAGGTAAGCTTTTTCTCCTTCACCTCAAAAGGTCACTTGTCTAGAGGACTGCAAGCAGTTTACAAGTTAGTTGAAGGGTAATTCCCCAAGGTAGAATGGTAAAAGATAATACTTATATGTTCTTTCCCCTATGTTTAATCACTTAAGTTATACTAATACAATGTTAGATATTTAACAGGCTGTCTCATTTTTCATTAACATCTATCTTCTACAGTTTCTAGGTCTTTGTTTCCTCTAAATATTTTACATCACCCACCCCACCCCTCCTTTGTAGATAAGGTCTCATGTAGGAAAGGCTGGCCTCATTCTTTTTCCTTAAGATTTAAAAGGTTTTATTTTATGTATATGAATATTTGCATGCATGTATATATGTGCACTATATGCATACCTTTATGTATGCTGAGACAAGAAGAGGGTGTAGGAGACATGGTTTGGGTGCTGGGAACTGAGCCCAGTTCTTCTGAAAGAGCAGCAGATGCTCTTAACTGCTAAGCTATCTTTCTATCACCTGAATTCAAATTCTTGGTCACTGAGGATGATTTTGAACTAATGATCTTCCTGTTCCACCACTCCAGTGATAAGGTTGCATACCGCTGTGCCTAGTTTTATGCAATGCTGTGGATCAAACACAGGACTTTATGCATGCCAGACAAGCACTCTACCAATTGAGATATGTTAACACTATTAACAGTAGGTTCCCAACTGGTCATAGTAATTCTTGTTTTAATTCTCTAATATTGATCCCTCTTCACATTGCTGCCATAGAGATCTCTCTTCATTCTGTCTGCCAATCCAATACTATACCTAATATTTAAAGCCAGGATCTTATGTATCATTTAATACAACACACACACACACACACACACACACCCCAACCCCCTATCTTTTGGGAGGTAGAGGCAGGTGGATGTATGAGTTCAGTGCCAGCCTGGTCTACAGGGAGAGTTCGGGATATCCAGGGCTACACAAAGAAACCCTGTCTTGAGGGGGTGGGGGGTTTTCTGTAATTGATCCATAAGAGTAGCTCTTGCCCTTTTGAAAGATGTACTTTTATTTATTTCTGTGGTGTTAGGGATTGAGCCTAGGGCTATGGTAGAAAGTATTATAGTTTTCTTAAATACTTTTTAGTTTAAGACAGGGTCACAGTACTTGGGAGGCAGAAGCAGGTATATTTTTGTAGTGAGTTGGGAGGTTGGTGTGATCTACAAAGCAAGTTCCAGGACAGCCAGATCTACACAGAGAAACCCTGTCTCAAAAACCCCAAACCCACACAGGCCTTGAACTTGAGATTCTGCTGCCTCTGCCTGCCCCCACTCCCCCGTGCTGGGATTACAGGTATGGACCACTCCACTTGACTTAACTTATTACAGTCCTCCTATATATAGTCCAGGGTGGCCTTGACCTTGTGATTCTCTTGCTTGTATCCTAGTGTTAGGATCACAGGCATGTGCCACTAAGCCTGCAAGTGTTGCTTGTTTATAAATCTGATGGAAGTGAGGGCATTTACTTGTGGGAAATGTGTTAAATGCTTATTTGTGCTTTATGAACATTGGAGAATACTTTGCAGTTTTTGCATGACTCTAGAATTTTAAGAATACTGTAGACCATCTTGGTTATCTTTTTAAAATGATATCTCATGTGTTTAGAATGTTCATTTTTTTATTATAAAGATTTATTTTTGTGTGCATTGGTGTTTTGCTTGCATGTAAATGTCTGTGTGAGGGTGTTGGGTCCCCTGGAACTAGAGTTATAATAGACGGTTGAGTGGTTATGTGGGTGCTGGGAATTGAACCTGAATTCTCTGGTGGAGCAGCCAGTGCTCTTAACCTCTGAGTTGAATACCCTGGAACTGGAATTAAAGGAATGCATAGTGAGATCCCATCCAAAAGGAGAAAGTAAAAACCACAATTGGAGGTGGTTCTACCTAATTGTTGCAGCCATCCTAAGCTACAACACTAGTTCCTACATTTTCTGAATTGGTCCTACCAATTTATGTAAGATTTGTTGCATTTGTCACACAAATGTCCTTATTCCCCCCACCTTTTTTTTTTCCAAAGATGTCCTTATTTAAAAAAAAAAAAAATTAGTCAACACACCCATACCATACAAATCAAACACTGTATAACCACCATTGTTTGCCATTACAACTATAAAATAACACCAATATCTGATTTTACAAATACCACCAGTAATTCCTTTTTCACTACTTATTGAAGGACTATGCTATGTGTAACATCTATTAATTAAGAAAGTCCTTCAAGGAATTGGAGAGACGGTTAAGTGGTTAGGATCATTTGTTGCTCCTGTAGAGGAACCTGGGTTCACTTTCCCAGCACCCCACACATTGTTTGAGCTATATATATTTTAGACTGGCCTCAAAACTGAACTTTCCTTGGCTTCCCAAATTCTGTGGTTACAGGTCTGCATATCATGTTGCTTGCACTTTTAAATACTGATTCACTGCTTCCCGGATCCTTAGAAGCACTGCTACATTTTGTCAAATGTGTAACAGTTTTGCTTCTTCCAAGGATTCATGCCTTTACTACCTTATCTGCTAGGTAGAACTTGGAAACCAAACAGATGAGCCTAGCCTGCCTGTTAGCCAGGTATATAGCATGCATAGTAAAACTAGGTCTGTACCCAAAAAAAAAAAAAGAAAAACAAAAAAACAAAACAAAACAAAACAAAACCTTCTTTCATGTTTCCTGCAGCCTGTGGAGAGCTTTGGCAAGTTAATGAGCTTTATTCAGGTAGTCTGTGGACCCAGGTTTTATCAGGCCAGTGTGGTTGGTTCTTTCATAGAAAGTTACATTGTAAACAGTGTTTATAGGCATTTTCAGAATTGTCTAATGCATTTACATAAGTCAAATATTTTCACTCTTATGCTAAATATTTTGAAATTGTGTAATGTGGTTTATATACAGGATCTATGTTTTTAAGAAATAGCCTCTCAGACCTGGGGTGGACCTCATGCATGTTCTATGCAAGAAGAGGGTAGGGAGAGACAGACAGGGTGAAGCATCCACTCCCTAAGCATCTCACCGTGTTGTGGTATCACTGGCCTGGAATTCAGAGATCCACCTGCCTTTATCTGCATTAGTGCTTCGATTAAAGATTACTTGAACCATGTATGCTCCAGCTATCCCCTAATTTTTCAAGCCTCACTCTCTTTCAAAGCAAAAAGTTGAACTTATTCTAATGGATTTGTTTCGCCTAATATTCTTGACTGTTAAGAGTTTTAGTAGAGGAGAAATAGCTAATATACAGGATGGCACATTCTGGTATGAAAGGATGGGCTGGCGAAGTTTGCTATAGTAGAATGGCCTCAGAAACTAAGGCACTGAGGTCAGTAGATTAGTGCCAAAGGCATACTACAATTAAATTTCTACTTTATTTCACATTCTTGATTCTGTAGCTGGTATTTATACCACAGATTTACAGGTGGTCCACACTGTTCCATACTAATTCTTTGTTGGGGTTTTTAATGTTTTTGTATTTGTTTGTTTATTGCTTAACTGTTGTGAGTGCAGAAATAATGCAAAGCAGTATTTGAGGTGGTGGGAATATAGCGCTCAGCCTGGAGTGTTTGCCTACCTATTCACTGAATGAAGCCACAGTTATTAATTAGGACTAATGTTAATAGTATCACTATCATTTAAGGCCTCAGGGATAGTGAGTTGCCAAAGGACACACATTCTAAAATTAGGTCATACTCTAATATGGCATGTAATTTTTTTTAAAGATTTCTATTAGTCTGTGTATGCATGTGTTTTTTTTTGGGGGGGGTGCAGTTGCTCTGCACCCAGAAGATGGTGCCATATCCCTTGGAACTGGACTTAACAGATGGTTGTGAGCCCAGAGTCCTCTGTAGGAGCAGCTAATGTTCTTAACCACTGAGCTGTCTCTCCAGTCCTATATATCATGTAATGTTTTGTTTAACTT